CGTCGTCATCATGCAGATGGCGTACAATGTTCTGCTGAATGTGCCATATACATAGTCAATGGTTTGAGTCTGGCCAGACCACCCTTATTGCTCTCTGCATTGCAAGGTCCCCATCTGTGATCACAGATATCGGATGCTTCTGTGCCATGCAATCAGAAAAGGTCCGCAACATCCACTCGTATGCCTGGCTTGTTTCATGAGAAATTATACCACAGCCAAATATAACAGTGCCGCAGTGGTGATTCAACCCGACAAACGGCACGAATGGCAGATTGTATTTGTTGGTTCTGTATGTGCTATCGAAAACAATGACGTCTCCGAAAGCCTCGTAGTCAAGTCGCGATTGACTATTAGCCCAGAACAGTCCCTTCAGATGGCCATGCTCGTCTACCAAGTACTTGAAGAAAAAATCCACATCTCGCTCTCGCCTCGCCATCATGTGCATGATCACCGTATTAGCATCACCGGCACTGATTGTCTCCTGCTTATTAGCATGGCAGAAATTATAAATGTCCCTCTTTATGCATCCAACCTTATCAAATCCACCGTATTGAAAGCACAAAATATCCATAATACGGTATTTGCGGATCCCACATTTTTCCATGTCCGCAATGTCCGCTTTCTGCTCATCGCTAATTCGTCTGTGCGAACGCAGCAAACAAGAAAGATCTCGTGGGGCTAGAGGATGGCTGTGCTCATCGATGAAATCCTTGACAAACCACCGACCGGTTTCCTCCTGTCTCGTAATGCCAATTTAGCATTACACCCAACACGAGTTAAACTTCGTGGCCTCCTCTTTCTATCTTCCATCTTTCTTTTCATGTGCTTCTCTTCGCGAAACCCTTGACGACTACACACAATTTTCCTTCAAATTATGTATTTGTTGGATCCATCCCACTCAACGTAGCTTCTCCTCACACTAAAACCTTTTTCAAGAGTTGTTGTAGAATTCATAGTCTTCAGCCTCACTATCAAACATCTTGCTGACAACATTTAGATACTCGAACATACTCTCATCACTTGCATACGCCATGTCTTCCTGCATATGACATGTGAGGGAAACCAATCATCAACATCTTTCTGTTTATCAATGTTGCAGGTGTAAAATAGCTCATAGGCAAAGACAAGTGCATGGAAAAGACTTTGCTGGTTTGACATGTGAGGGAAACCAATCATCAACGTCCAACAAGTAGTATCTCATCTTCCTTTAAACTATATTTCATGCGCTATGCAAACCTAAAGTGATGATGACTTTAATAAACTAAATTAAGTGAACTATGGAACCAGTATCTCATCTTCCTTTAGTATATCTCATCTCAAACGTCAAGTAAGTCACTTTTTTTTCTGCGGTACCAAAGGAAGTAAGCAATGCCCTCAACATCTAACTTAAACGAACATGATGCGATTAGCTCAAGAGAAACTATGCCACGATGAAGCTTTCCATTCGTTGTTCTAGTCCGTACCCGGATCTTGTGGGGTTGAGGTTGTACTGCATGCACGGTGGAGGGGCGCAACGGCCAAGAGAACGAGCAGAACGCCAAGCCGAATTCATACCTTAAGGATGATACGCGCAAAGAGATGGGATCGCCCGCCGCGGTCGCCGCCGATTCAGCCGCCGCAGATCCGGCCTTTTTCTTCTTCGGTGACGGCGTGGGGGGCTGGGGTTGGTTGGGTGGAGGACGAGGATGATGAATTTATTCCTCTCGTCGGGCAGGTCGAGGACGGAGAAGGTCAGGAGTGGCGAGCGGCGACGAATATATCGGAGGAGGATTCTGAACTGGATCGAGTAGACATGGATCTGGTCCTCAGGTGATCGGTTCAAAAAAAAATATTTCCCCCTTGACCATTATGCCCTTATCGCAATTAATATATTAAATTTAATCAATTAAAATTCCCCGCAAGATCTGACGGCTAATAAAAATCAGACGTGATCATAAGTACTGCTAAGTACTCCGAGTACTAACCCAATCACCGTAAAACAGCTCTAAAAATTATGTGTCGAATACATGTGTACGAGTTTTGCTACAGTTGAAATTGTAATTAGCGAAGGGTTAGGGTGTTTGTGTCGTACACGTGTAACCTCAAATTATTATTATATATATGGTCCCTGCTGGTAGCCAAATAGACTAAAAATAAGTTGTAAGCTAATTAAGTTACAGATCACTAGAGGGAAAGTCCGAGCCGGCCTGACACAGTGGTCGAAGCGTTGTTTGATGGCTTTAGAGCATTTACAGCCGGACTTGGCAAATCCGACCTCAAATGCCCGAGCGCGTGTGCAGATAGTGACCGGTCACACCTTAAATAATTGATTCCACATGCGGATACCTCAAATTAGAAATCTCAAAATCATATTATTACATGCAACGTAAACCTAATCTTCAGCAGAGCTCGTCCGACTCCGCCGTGTCCATGCCCGGCGGTTGGTTGCGCCCCTCAGAGTGTTGTTCTGGTCGCCAGTGAGATAGAGTAGGACATTGGACACGGCCCGGCTCACAGGACTCAAGGAGCTTCCGTCTCCCATGCCATACTCTTCCTCGTCGGAGCCCGGAACCCTGATGGTGCTGGTGGACGTCAGATTGATGATGGGTTCGTCCTGGGAGGAGCCGCCAACACCCACCACGACATGGCTGTGGCGCGTGGGGTTGTAGTCCATCTGTCGGGGCGCCGGAGAATGCAACTCCGCCTCTCCAACGTCCACTGCCGCGAGGGTTGTCGCCGCCTCCCGCGCCCGCTGCCTCACGCGGCATCCATGTTTACGTCGGACGACGCCCCTGCTGCGTTTGTGGCCGTGTCGCGCCAACAAAGGGGTTGCGCGTCCGCCACTGCATTCGGACGCCGGACGGACCGCGACGCCTCCGGTGAGCCAATGACGACACACCTAGTGCCGGATCCATGTGCCATTTGGGCGGTCACAATGGATTCCCGATGGAAGGAGTCCGAGCGCTGCCTCGCACGGGCCTCCTTCCGGGAGCGGCGGAGCGCAAGCCGGACGATCATCTCCTCCTCGGGGCCGCGTGGGATGAGCTCAGGGTCAACGGATCTTGTCCTATGGACTTTGACGTGCAAGGTGTTTATGCTGATTTGGATAGTGTTATTTAGTTTCTTCGATTAGTAGAGGAAATTTGGCTCAAGGTGAACATTGTTAAATTGTGATCTGAATTCTAGTACCGTGTTGAACTAGACGCAGTATAACCGATGTGGGCGTTGCGTTGATGTCGACGCTTACGGATACAACTCTTTTACTTGTTCTTCGAGGATGCTTATGTATTGCCTTCATATATACCCCATGTAGCGCACCTAAAGACGGTCTGTTGTCACGTTCTTCTAATACTCCTTCATCAGAGGGATTACGCCTTCGTGCATCCGTAGTTTTTTCCGGCAAGGATTTTCACGTAAAAACTTGTGTCTCGTTTATTCTTGTTTTGTCTAACACTCTTTCCAATACAAAAAGGTGAAAAGTCATGGTTATGGCAGAAAAGAGCAGCGACGAGTCTCTAGGATGATTTTGTACCTATTGGAATCAGCAAAATAAGTTCATGGGCCCCTTTTGCACCATTATAATGTTTATTTGTGAAACTAAACCCACTATGTAAGTTTGTATATTACGAATGCAATTAACTCATGCTCTTTAATGCAATTTTGGTCTCCATAAATGCATTCCGGCAAACGGAAGGAAGGTTGCCTTGATAGCAGCAGACATGTTACATGTCAATGCCACAAGGCAACGCCGCAAGTGCTATTCGGCCGTAGCGGCACACCGGGCATCACCGCAACGCGACAATTATACGAAGCACCATTTCCCATAGGTGGCAAATACCGCAGGATTGTATCACGACAGCCATCCATCTGCATACGTACGCATCAAGCCACCGTGCTAATCAGGGAGCAGGATCCCTGACATACGGCCCCCTGACGTGGCCCCCTGACGTGGGGCCACTGACAGGTGGGTTCAGGCCCACACGGCAGTGTGTGGGCCGTACGTCAGAGGAGCCGCGTCCGCTAATCAGGGGCAGCATGCCGTCCTCTCACTAAAATATATCCAGCAAAAGAACAAATTTTGTCGATAAACGAAGACTTGTCCAATCTCTCTGCTCATGCGACGTGGCATGCTCATATCACTTGGGGTCATGAAGATTTTCCAGTCCATCTGGAAAATATATACTGACAGACACACGTATGTGGGGCAGATGGAAGTGAAAATGTGTGAAAGAAATGTATCTGCTTTATGTATCTCTTTTTTCTTCAACTAGAATAATGCCTGTGCTTGCAACGGAATATAAATATTCTAGTGTGTTAGCTTGTGATTTACCTGCCCATAATATATGACTGTGTAAATAAATATTCATCAAATTATGTCCGTGATTTATCTTATATTTCAGTCAGAAATGATTTAGGGGCTGTTTGGTTTGTGACTAACTTTGCCAAAGGTTGTAGGCAAGTTTGACTAACTTAGGTGAGTGTTTGGTTCAAGCCACAGGCAGACCACACTTGAGCCCCACATGGCATACACACAAAAAGTGTGGTAAGATTTCCTTAGGCTTGCCAACTTGTGGCTTTCATTTTGATGAACTAAGGTTAGGCAAGGTTAGCAAAAATGTGTGGCGAAGTGTGACAATGCTAGGCCTAAAACCAAACAGCCCCTTACCTGCCCATAGTATGCGATTGTTTAACTAAATACTTATCAAATTCTGCCGATGATTTGCCTTATATTTTGATCAGAAGTTGGGTAACTAAATTAAATCAAAACTGATTCAAAAAGTAAGTAAATTAAGATGATTGATTACTATACGGGAAAAGTTGGACAAAAGAGAGATGGAAAGAAAGATAAAACAGAACCTTACGGTTTTTTTATAAGTACTAGAGATTTAAAGTATTTTGAGAACACAATAGTTTTATACCAACACTCATCCATACAAAAATAAGAGAGCATTATTTTCTTGACAAGCCGCGCTTATTGCAGGACAAACAGACGACTGTGCGCAGAGCTCATCTTTCCGCTTTCAGCTGGTGGTGCGGGACACGGCGGTGCGAGGCTGCTGCATCGCCTCGGCATACTCAACGAGCCTCTCCACGCGCGGCATGACCGGCGCCACCGCGTCCAGCGTGCAGAAGAGCTCCGCCCAAGCGGCCAGGAGCGGGGTGGTGGTCGAGTCGAAGGTCTGGAGCCTACCCATCTCCTGAGATGCGCGCATCGAGCCAAGGAGGCCGCCGAGCATGACGTCGACGAGACCAGGGCAGTCCCTCCCGCTGAAGAACTTGGCCTCGGAATCCCTCAGCACCCCCTCCAAGGTTTCCATGGCCGCGGCCGCCTTCTTCCTCCCCTCCTCCTTCTCCTCGCCCGTCGCGACTCTCAACGCCTGGCTCGGCGCCTTCAACAGCTGCATATTGAAAACGGTATACATGAACGCGGCCATGTGAGAGTGAGGTAGTACTCAAGCAATATGTACCTACCGTGTCGTCGATGAAAACGGCCCAGAAGAGAGCGACGGCTCGGCCGTAGGGGTCGTCGGCGGGGAGGAGGGAGGGCCCGGCGCCGGAGAAGGCCTCGTCGATGTACCGCAGGATGACGGACGACTCGCAGACGGGCTTGCCGTTGTGGATGAGCACCGGCACCTTGCCGCCGTGGGCAGGGTTGGACCTCAGGAGCAGCTCGCTCTTGTTCTGCAGGTCCTCCTCCATGTACTCGTAGCTGAGGCCCTTGAGGCGGAGCGCGATCTGCACCCGCACCACGAACGGGCTCGCCCACATGCCCAACAGCTTCAGGTCCTCTCCGCAGCCGGCCATTCCCTTCCTGCTGCTTTGCTTTGCTACTCTCTCAACATCGGTCTCCTTTGCTCCTTTCTTAATTGCCGGCCTTGTTGATTGATCTTTTGACCAAGTATCACTCATATAGTAGAATAAACCAATAGTATTGTGTCACGTCTTGTGCTGTGCAAGATAATTCACGGGTAACCTTTTTAAAGAAGAAACGCCGGGTAGAACGATAGTATAAACCAATAGTATCGTGTGTCGTCTCGTGCTTACCTTGTGTACACTATATAATCTGATACAGTATCGTTGTGACGTCTCGTGCAACCCACAACAGAATCGAGCAGAGGAGTTGGCATGGATGCGCGTGTATCTGAATCTAACCTAACCTGTTGTTCTCTGTCTCTCATCTTCTTTCTCTTTTAAAGTCCTGTCTCTTTGGGTATTTAACCTGAACTGAACAGAAAAGTTGGCATGAATGAGCATGTATCTGAATCAAACCTGTTGGCATGAACAGATCAAATTATTGAGTAATACTTCCACTAGAATAGCTCTGACGGCGTGCCTTCCATTCAGTTAGGCCTAGAGCTGTCTCTGGTGTGCAGAGGAACGAAGCGCTGTGCTCGCACGTGTTGTGGGATGATGAAAAGTAAAGAGACAAACAAATGATACTTCCTTCGTCCCATAATATAAGAACGTTTTCTACACTACTATAGTGTCAACAGCGTTCTTATATTATGAGACGGAGGGAGTAAGTTACTGTATAAATGATGATGAAAAGGAAAGAGACAAACAAGTGAGGAGATTTACGACTGTAGTTCTTATTGCAGCGTGGGCGCCCCACTTATATATATTCTTATACATGTTTTGCCTTCTGGGTCATGCCCCAGTTATACACATACACGATGAGGGGTGGTGCTCCGTCATCTCCGTCAACTCATCACATGTTTATTTCTTTCTTCTTTCTAAACAATATATACTACTCCCTCGGATCCGATCAATATTAACTGAGGCAGAAATGATCACCTTTTCCCCCTCTCCGTACGGTCTACAGCTATCCTCACATTCCTTGCCATCGTCTCCAACTTCTACAAGTTTGGTCTACAAGTTTGCGGGGCCATGATGTCGTTTAGTAGCAATAAATTAACAACTGGAAAAGAAAAGAAAACCAGTTGCAGTAACAAGAAACAAATATCAAATTTATCCGAGTAATACCTCGACCGGTTCATCTCCGACGTCATCACTTCCGCTGGAACAAAAAGACGACCAATGGTTAGGGATCTCAAATTACCTTAAATTAAAAACTGTATATATCTATCTGAATGTACTCGAGCAGGATTTCTGTGTCAAGTTAAGCTAATTTATTAGAAGGGTTACTTTCTGCAAAATAAAATAAAAATACAAGGGTTACACATGACAAACAAATCGGTCTCAAACTGTTTCCACAGGAGTACAGATGATGAATAGAACACAGACGTTCAATTAGTTTTTTTGCCTACTGAGATTAGACAGGAGAATGTACAAAGTCACATTTTCTATGTATGAGTATTCCTCTCCCACCAAAGGTTCTAGAAAAAGTAATCATGAAATAATAACCCGGTACAGGAACAATGTATTTACTGAAAGTGTTGTTTGACTTTGAGTACCTGTGTAGAACAAGGGCTTCTTTTCCATGAGAATCATATATGTGTTTGAATTCGGTAATATTCATCCGGCCAACCTGCACAACAAGAAGTCACAAGAAAAGAAATAGAATATCTACTATCATGTGTTGGTTGAAAAATCATGATGCATACCAGTTCTGCAAACTCTTTGAAGCTTCCCTGCTCCTTCGGCGAAAATGTAGGTAATACCGCTTCTGGTTTTCGACCAACATCAGGAAGCTCGGTTACTAATCTAAGTGTATCAAAGTTCATATTTGCACCGCTACTTATTGCAACCACAGTTTCCCCTTTCAAACCATAGTATTTGCAGTAAGCTTCAGCCCCAGCCAAGGCAAGGGCCCCAGAAGGTTCAAGGATATTCCTGTTCTCCTCAAACATATCCTGTGCCCATGAAAACCAACATTTTCAGTATGAATAATATTGTTAGTGCAGAACATCCACAACAATCCACAAGCATGATGACGGTAAGATTGGCATAGAACAAACTGCAGAGCTAGAATTTCTACCATCCTATTTTTGAGCAATGTCATCACAATGCTTATGTGTAGTAAATTTTAAAGAAGACATTAAAAATATACCAATATCCACAGCAAGAACTGAAAACTAGAAAACAAGGCCACATTATCACATAATACACACCATTATAACACTTGTATTCAAATGAAACTGAAAACTTCTATTCAAGGCGGATCAGACATATAATAAGTTGATCACTCTCACCTTTATTGAAGCACAGATAGCATCTTGGCTGACCAGGACAATGCCATCTACAAAATCTTGACACAAGGGAAATGTCTCCTTGCCTACAACTTTGACAGCTACACCATCAGCAAACCCTCCAATATGTTCTAACATGACCCTCTGGCCATGAAACAAGGACAATGCCATGGCATTTGCATCTGAGGGCTCCACTCCAATTATTTTGACCTGCACCAGAATTGTTGTAAACATACAAGAAAGGACAGCCTGAATGAGTATTGTATTCAATCTGGAGAAGGGTTACAGTTAGGTGATTGGATGAAAAACAATTGATTCCCAAATGCACTTAAAATAGGGCCATTTACTTTAATGGCATTTAAAAAGAACTTCGGTGTCTTGTAATGTTTTACATAGAAAAAGAAAACACTCCTGTGTTTGAAAGCTTACCTCAGGGCAGACCCGTTTCACATAGGCAGCAATTCCAGCAATTAATCCACCACCTCCCACAGGTACAAATATTGCATGTAATGGACCTTGCAATTGGCGAACAATTTCCATGCCAACAGTTCCTTGTCCAGCAATAATGTCGGGATGGTCAAAAGGAGCTATGAATGTGAGGCCTTCCTCCTCACAGCATAGTTTTGCATATGATTGAGCTTCGTCATATGAATCTCCTTTGAGAACGACTGTCGCACCCAGTTTCTCCACTGATCGCCACTGGATTAAGTTATATGTTAATAGCTGCTGATAATAACTTAGATATACCATACAAACGGCATATTTAAGGTAAAGTCATCGAGATATCAATAACCTTGTTTTCTGGTGTTGTCACAGGCATGACAATAACGGCATGACAGCCCAATCTTTGGGCAGAAAGAGCAACTCCTTGAGCATGGTTTCCAGCAGAGGAGCAGATAACGCCGTTGTTTAACTGCTCTTGGGAGAGCTTTGCCATCATATTATATGCACCCCTCAACTTGAATGAAAATGCCTATGCATATAAGAAACAAATTTTACCTAGGTATGTAAATTGTTAACATGTATGTATGTAGTGCGCACGTCGCCTCCTAGTTTGTAGGATCTGAACTAACTATCCCGGCCTGCGTGCCTTGTCCATGGGGTGTATATATGTAACACTGATGTATGTGTGATAATCAATACAAGAGAGCAAGTTTACTCTCCAACTTGGTATCAGTAGTCTCCAGGCCGCCGCCATGTCGGAGCAGCACTCCTCTTCCTCCTCCGCGGCGACTCTCTCCGCCACCTCGTCGCCCTCCCTCTCCGGCACTGCTCCCTCCTCGGCCTCCTCCAGCGCGGGCACCTCCCCGTTCATCTTTGGCACTCTCCCGGCTAACCCTAGCGCCTCTGCCCCCGCTTCCTCTCAATTCGCCCCCCTCTTCTCCTCCACCGCGCCGCCGCCGCCGCCCCCGGCCAAGCACCCTATCCTCAACGTCGACCTCACCAACCACATCCGCTTCCTTCTCAATCCCACCGAGCACAATTATCACAAGTGGAAATCCTTCTTCCTTATGGTTCTGCTTCGTTACGGTGTCATGTATCTCATCGAGCACCCACCCCCACCCAACGCCAACAGCCAGTACCTCGAGCCCGACACCCACGTCGCCCTCGCCATGTATGCCACCCTCTCGGATCAGATCGTCGACCACGTGATCGGCGCCACCACCACTTTCGATCTCTGGTCTCGGATCAGGGACTACTTCCTCGCAAATCGCGCGGCTCGGTACATGATGCTCAATCGTCAGTATCGCAACCTCAAGAAGGGCGACCTCTTCGTCGACGAATACGCGCGCCGCATGAAACTGCTCACCGCGGGCCTCGCCGACATCGACCATGCGGTCTCCGAGGTGGATCTGACCACGCAGTTCCTCCACGGCATCGACGGCCGCCTTGACACGATCCGGGTCGTGCTGGGGGACACGGTTCCCTTGCCCCCGTTTGAGACCGTGTTTTCGCGTCTGAAGCTCGCCGAGGAAAACCTCGCTCAGCGCACCGCCGACGCCCCGGCCACGGTCCTCGCCGTCCATGGGCTCGGCGGGCCATCCGGTGGCTCCGGATCCAACAGTGGTGGCAGCTCCTCTTCTCGTCCGGGCCCGTCCAGGTCGGCGACCCGATCCTGCTCCCCAGCCCCGCAGCCCACGAGGGACCCGCTCGTGGCTTGCAGCGACTCGGGCACCACCCGCATCAGCGGCACGGCCCCGAGGAGCGCCGCGGCCACCCTCGAGCGAGCCAAGCAGGCGACGGGGCGCGCGCCATCGCGGCGGCTGCCGGACGCGGGGCGGAAGGAGGTCATGGATGGGGAGGAGGTGGCGGCGGCCGTTTTTGTCGAGAGTAGTACGACGGTGCAGCGTTTGGGTGGACAGTGGACAGTGGTTTCCTTCCAAGGAGCGCGCGATGAGACGGGGGTGGCCAAATTTCGTGTTTTGACCCTTTTCACATCTAAAATCGGGATATGACACCGGTTTGAAATTATTTCGACATTTGACCCTTTTAGCTACCGCTGGGCTTCGTGGCGGTAGATGTGTGCAGGCTACCTCCATGCTAGCTGGCGGTAGGGTACTTTGACGGTCGTCTGGCCGTTAACGGGGGACTGACGTGGCAAAGGGACATACCGCCGCAGGGTTCGGCGGTAGGCTCCAACACCCTACCGCCGAG